TATCTTTATCACATAGTATTCTAAAAGCAACATTATAAATTAACACAAAATTCTGGCACATTGGGCATACAGTGCCAGACAAAATGGTACTTAATGGATGTCAACACCATGATCGCTAGTAATTGGCAAAGTTATCTACCTTAACCAAAAGAAAAATCAAATAACAATGATGGCTCTATCAATATGAGTCAGAATGTTAATAATCAACAGCAAATATTGCAAAAACATATATGGCAATAATAATATGTTATGCACACACACTGAAATTATATTTTTTGTTTTTAAAAAAAATACTGAAAACCTATTTAAACAGTTTCAGAAAGATTCAAACCACTAACCCCAATGAATTCCAGCCTAGATATCATCTGCTTTCACACAATTCAAAAGCTTTACAGTGTCAATCAATTCTAACATACGTACCCATAGAAATTAAATTTAAAATGAAAAAAATCAGAAGATTATGACTGAAACCACTAATACAATTCATTAAAAATCAAAATATGAAATGGTTTGTTCATCTGACAAGAATGCTCTATTACCCACAGCTACAGAGAGTTGTGATAAAGAAATAAAGTGAACATAGGAGTAGGGGAAACACCACAAACTGTAGAATGACTGCATCTAGCAAACACAACACAGTATAAATATAAAAACTTATTCATATAATGTATCAGAAAGATGCACTTGAACATCACCCCCCCACCCCCCCCCCCCCCACCCCCTTTCTCCATAATAAACTGTAAGAAGAAGATAAAGCACATATGAATAAACATTTTCTCACGAATCATTCATTCCAATTAGGCAGTGCATTTTATCAATTATTAGACGACTTGGATATTATCTATTAAATTAATCTATATCTGTGACACCTTGTTTCTTCTTGACAGGGTTGTAGTTCAGGATGCCTTTCTTCATGGCCAAACCTAGAAATGCTGCACTGTTCATCAGAAGGATAGCCAGATATCAGCAGCAAGAGTAAAAACCATTACATTTCCCTATTATTATTTTTCTGAGGATTTATGCAGCAACAGTATACTGCTTGCCTAATGCCCATCCCGCCTTGCCATAACAAAATCATATTGAATCACCCTATGATGCAGTCACTCTTCTTTCAGATGCTTAAATTGTCATTATGCTTACCCTCTTCTTTCGCCTTTTCTGTTTCTTTTTCCTTTGTTCCTCCTTGTGCTCCTTCACAAGAGTGGCCAAGCTGTTGACATACTCATCTGTCTGTGATAGCAGGTAGGCCAAGCGTTTATCTTTCTTCTGATCAATCAGTTTTCTATAGCCCTCTTCATCCTCAGCCTGTAATAACATGAAAGTAAACACATCATTACTGGCACCTTTTCATCTGTCTAAAAGACAGTGTTACACTGCACTACAGGGAGGCAGGGACAATGGCAAAATGACTGCAACCAGCAAGAGCAGCTCAGGTTGACAGGTAAATAAGAATTGTTTACAATCTGTGTATTTTCAGGACCATTGTTGCCATTCAATGTATCTGAAAGTGTGCTGAGAAAGGTAAAGACATAAATGCTGGGAAGGTCACGGGTAGTAAGCAAACTTTGGATCTTTTCTCCAGGCCATGCCGGCATAGTTGGTATTGAACAAGCAGACATATTGGCTGGATCTGCACCACTGGGTGATGAATTCATACATGACAAGGCAGATGTGGTCAAGGCCCTTTGAGAACAAGCAATGAAATCAGTACAGAAACAAGATTATGGCCTGGAAAGAATGACGCACCTGGGTGTAACCAGAGGGTCTGGCTGGCTCACTACACTCAGAGAAAGGGCAAGACGGACATTTAACCAGATTGTGACCGCTACCATTAGTATTGAAACTCTGCGCTGGCTGCTGAAGATGAGGACTGAGCATGCATGGGAATGCCCCAAATGCAGTGATGTCAAATCCTGATTCAACTCAAAATGAAATGTATCTGAAATGTTTTCTTTTCAGACTCGTAACCAGTCTGCAATCATTTTCAATGCATATAAGATAACACTGTCTTCTTTTCTTACACACAAATAGTTAGTTAGGCGACAGATTATCCCCACTGAGCATTCAACAATTCAGTCCATAAATACTAAGACCAAACTGCATGATACTTTTTACCGCAGACTATCTGGAAGAAAGGTGAGCGGAAGATGAAGAAAGAGATGGATAACTGGTGTAGCTAAATTCTGCAAAAAAGATCCACAAATCCATCACCCAAGCTATCTCAGAAGCCCATAACAAATAAGAAAAACATGACACTGAGTTACAACCTAATATCAGTAATATAACAAACGAAGAAGTACTAAAATCCCTTCTTCAGTAAATCCCGCTGCAGCGTGTAGCGGCTGACACCAGTTCTGTGTTAGTTTCTTATTATTCTTTGGCTTCCTGCATAGTATCTGGCCATGGTTGCTGATTCATTATCACTGTGTTCTCTAAAGACTTACTTCTAATACAGCATTCAGTATATTAGCATGATCCATGGCTCGTTCGTTCTTCACAGTACCATACCTGCAAGCCTATCAGCTTGTTAATTTCCTTGCAGTCCCGCATGCAGTGGCATGAATATGAAACTGATAGTTGCCAGCTCCAAGACTAGAGACACACAAATATGCATTGAAACTTTTCACTGCAGATGAACCTGGCTACTTCTATAAAATTAAATGACAAGATTATCAGTCATGGCTGAAATAACTGCTCTGCCTTGCAGACGAATGGATTTTAAACCAAATAAAAGGACTTTCAAATGTGCAGTCATACATTTATTGTCAAAAAGAGTTTTCCCAGCTCTGGGAAAGTAAATAAATCAACACTCTCCTGAAGTATATAACACGAGGTGTAAGGGGACCAAGCTGAGATGAGGTGATGATACATGATAAGTACTGAATCTCCAGATGGCATCATCAGTGTAGGAACTTTTCATTGGCTAGGCAGGAAAAGGAAAAAACATGTACAAGAATTACTGAAGTGTAATGCCGTCAATTCTTAATTCATTCACTGAATCTTCAAAGAAAAAATATCTATTATTATTTCAAACAGGGCACAACAAACTTCGTCAACAAATATTCACACTTTTCGGTGTAGGAAACACATAACAGGGACCAGAGAAGCTGAGCATGTGCTCCAACACTATCAAATGTATGCTGCCAACAGAGATGCAATCTGGCCTGTTCCCAACAAAATGAAGACAAAACTGTATCGCGTACGAGGAGATATGGACTGCAAGATAGCCTTAATAAAGGTTACTTACTTGCCTCCTGATATAAGTTTTCTGACAGAAGGATCAAAGAAGAAGAAGATTTGAAACATAGTACTCACCATAAGTCTTCTCATACGCTCTTTCTCAATTCTCTCCTGCTCCTTCTTCTGTTCCCTCTCGGTGTTTGTATGGTATGTGATAACAGCTCTGTTCAGTTTGCCAATCTTAGCCACAATATTTCTGTGGAAGTCTTTGAAATCTTTGGCATGCTGAAGAACTGCATTCAGGTATTCCTAAGAATAAAAGTATCTAGATTAACTTAAGGGACAAAAAAACATTTTTTTTAATTCTTCTATACTCAAAATACATTTAAATATGCAAAATAAAAAAATACAAATACAAAAATTTAAAAATTAACTAAATCAGGACAAGCTTATCAGAGCTCATATTTCCTACAGGATAATTTTAAGAACACTGAAGCAACAAGGACTATTAAGATACTATTCAATCAATCGATCAGGTACTGTCTTCACAATGAAGGTTGGCCACAATAGATCTCCAACATGCTGTGTCTTTCGCAATGGATGTACAATCTCTAAGACAGCTGTTTATCCATCTCCTCATCACCTGTTGGTATCCTAAAACTTGTATCACTAAATGTCTCTTACCTACTTGTTTTAAACCACACAACACTCCTCGTATGTTTTTTTTTTATAAAAGTGTTATGCCTTTTAATATTTCATCTTCAATTTTGGTTTCTTTTGCCATTCTCTTTTTATTTCTTCGAAACATCTTAGATTGTTGTTGCTTTCATAAAATAAGGCTTATTTTTAGTATATTCCCCAGAAATTCAATGATGCTACTAAAAAATAATTGGGTCTCATACTTTGAGATAACGAGAGAAAGAGAGAGAGAGGCTATGAAAGGGTAGAGAATCAACTTTTAGGTTTAGACAACGGATCAACATCACGGCACAAGGTTAGTTAACGTGCGCAACAATACATACAGGCATCCGACCTTACTACCCAGAGACCAAGGGAAATTACTAGAAGTCCACGTGAAAAAAATCACCTTCACCAGGGCTTGAACATAGGACCTCCAGCACTCGAAGTGGGTACCATGCCTCAGCACCATGCACCCCCCCAAACCCCCCAGGAATCAACCTAACAACAGCCATAACACAATCATTCTTTGTACAATAAGCAGGAAGACTGCTACTAAATAACCCACACAATAAAAATACAAATCTAGACCTGAAACTTACCTGATGCTTCTGTCTTTTCTTTCTATCCTGCTCCATTTTCTGCTGTTTTTCCAATTTTTCTGTGACTCTAGCCTCGCGCAAAGATTGCCTCTTGCTGCGTTTGTATGCATTTGGATTCAGAGCTGTCTCTAAAGTTGTATCCTTGCGCATTGTTGAGATGACTTCAGTCCGCAGCTAAAAAACAATATGAACAGATTTAGGTGTAATGTTTTGTGACAGTAAATATTCCTATATGTACACATATGTACAGGTAACAGAAAACTCCATACAAGAGCAAGTACAACAGAAGGCTTCCAATCATAAGAAGAGGCTCCTCTTCCCTGAATGTTTCAGCTTCTTAAGCCTCTTAACACTCAGGGTGTGAACCTATACCCGGATAAGCTGTGCAGACAAGATTTGCCAATATTAAAACATGGTTTTTCCACTAATGACACTTACTTTTTAAAATGAGATGTTATATTTATTTCTTCACCAATCAATCCAACAATCTAAATACCCTAGATACCCTCTACCTTCTTTTCCCATTTTCTCACACACTGCAAGATGAATGTGACTAGGTTACAATATCTCAGTGAAAACATGACAAATTAATATAAATGTTTCCCCATTGGAATCTGAATAAAGAAGACGCAAACAATGTATTGCCTGGCATAACGTTGATTAGTTTAATTCAGCTGTAGAGGATTTATACATTTACTTCATTTTATTCACTTGTACTGTAGAATGCAACTGAAGTGAAAAATGCACACCGAAAAATTCAAAATAGAGGCTGTTCCAAGAAGAAGCTTTAAACAAACCAACTTACCTTATCATCATGCACACAATCCCATTAATGTTTTTAATCTGAACTGTTAGAAAAATTTGTACAGCGGTTTTTGTCAGCACATTCAGACTAAAAATTAAAAGAAAGATGTCACTCAGTAATACTTACAGATCTCTGAAAGTTGAGCAGGCGTAAAGCCCTAAGTTCAATCATTCCTTTGATCTTCAAGTCCTCTGGCATTGTGGTTGGCATCTTCGACAGCTCTTGTATTCTATGTGCAATCCGAGCTGACACTCTAACAAAAACAATTATTTAGACAGAATAATTTCCATAGTTTTATTTCATAAGATCATGACAAATATGCTTCACAAGTACCTGTTTTCAATAAAGTGCACTGTAATTTTTCAATACAAGCAGAACACCCTGTTAAGCTCAAATATTAAAGGGAAAAACATTCTTTAAGAAGCAACAAATTAAATTAAAGTAATAATACATGCACAATTGAACCTTTTTTTTTTTACCGATTCCTCTTACATGCAAAAAAACTGGGAAAATATCAAGTGTTAGAGAGGCATAATGTTTAATGAAACCCAACTGTTTGTTCCAGGTTTTATGTTGACCACAACTGAATTACTCCTGACTACATAGAAATGACGTAAAATTTAAAGAAAAATAAATGTTCATCTGCGTAGCACTTACTGCCAGACACTGCAATCTTTGTCTCCTTCATGTTCACCAGCTGTGAAATGCAGAAGAAAGTTTCTGGTGTTCATCTACTTGTGGACTTTGTCTTGCTCCAGAACTTGAGTTTTGTCTGCACATCTGCTTTACAGATCTGGCTAATCTATAAGCAGACTGTTAGTTCCTAGCCTTTCAGGAAGGAAACACCCCTAATTAGCTGACTTATGACAAGATTGTTGAGAGGCACCAGGTCCATTCTCCCCCCCCCCCCCCACAAAAAACGGAGCCCCAGAAGCCACACAAGGAGTGCTCTGCAGTGGGTGGCACTGATTCTAATTTAATCAATCATAAACAATAAAAAAATACCTGTTTTCTCTTTCCTTCAATAATTCGAGAGGATCCAGGCCTTGAGGTTTAGCAACAGGCGCAATTCTATTCTGCTTCAGAGCAGATAATGTCTGAGGCTGTTGCTGCTGCTGCTGCTGTGGCTGCTGTTGTTGACCAGGAGCTCCCATCTGCTGCTGTGGTGTCATCTGCTGCTGGTGCATAGGCCCCTGCATTCGCTGCTGAGATGGGTCAAGAGGGCCTTGATTGGGGCCAGCCATGCCACCACTGTGGCCTCTTACCTGTCCCATCTGTTGCTGAAGAAGCTGCTGCGAGGGTGGCTGCTGTGGGTGGCCACCCTGCTGTTGTTGCATCATACGGATCTTCTGCATTTGGTGTGGGTCACCTAAACCGATTGAAAGCAAAATTTTTCAAATGTGAATTTTTTTTTTATGACAACAATGTCAATTACTAAAGGCTCATTGATTACACACTGTGTGTCTCTGAGGTGAACGGGGCTGACAAAAAAATCGGTTCCATTTTCAATGAGCAAGCGGACAGGCTTGTAGATAAGGCTACTGTGACCAGGCTAAATGTCCTACAAGAAGTAAGACTTTTGCAAGAACCACGTGAGTGACTATGCAATCCATTAAGTAGACAGGAATCCAAAGCAGAATAAGGAACCAACAAGGAACTGCTATCTTCAGCAATACCCGCTGTGGGATTTACCAAGAAGGGATCCTAGCACTTCTGGACTCAAACAGTTTGATGTGCAATGAAGATAATTTGTCAACCAATTAACTAGCGATTTACCATATAGTTTTAAAATAAAAGTAATTTACATGAAAGTGTCACTGGGTTAAAAAACAATCAGGTTCAATCACCTGTTTTAATTTAAAGCAGAATGTTTCAGCATAATTTTATGGCCATCATGCAAATTGCTTGTAGGTCACTGTTTATATTTAGAGTCATTAAGTAAAGAACAAACAGTTTTAAAACATTCTATCGTGGAGTTTCTGTACAAGGCAAGAATATTTCAAAGAAGATTCAGATTTCCTGCCGATTTGTGTCTCACTAAAAACTAAATTTGTTTCTTAATGTACTCAGAATATTTTTTTTCCCAGTAAAGTGCACAATAATTTTTCAATATAAGCAGAACACCCTGTTAAGCTCAAATTGTAAAGGGAAAATCATTCTTTACAAAACAAAGAACTAAATTAAAAATACATACATGATTTAATGTGTTTTACCCACTGATTCCTCTAAAGTGCAAACAGGGTGGGAAAATGTTCAATGCCAGAGCAGCATATGTGCATAAAACCCAAATATTTGTTATTGGTTAAAGAAAATATTTTTATCAGCAATGTGAAAGAGTCGGAAAGCCGAAGAAGAAGAAAAATGTGAAAGAGTAAACAGTTTCACAACTAATTAATGAAGAATACAATTGTACCTGGTCTTGGAAATGACCCCATTGGCCGTTTTCCTTCCAGCGCCATGCGTAAGCTATCTGGGATTGGTGCATTACATGCCAGCAATTTGTATGCCTTGATTTGGGCACGAAGCTGGTGCAGCTGTGCCTGGTTGAAGGTTTGTCTTGGTTGACCTGGGGGGCCTCCTTGCATGCCAATCTGCTGATCTGATAAGCAGGTGACAGGAGCAAAAATTCAACTACTGGAAACATTGTGAAAGATAAATCCAACAGTTAAACTGACCGTAATTAAGTCAACAGCGTTAAGGGTCTCCGAAAATGCATAAGAATAAACTCCCCCCCCCCCCCCATATATTAACTAGAATATAAAATATGGTCTGCAGAGCCTGTTTCTGGAGGGGAGAAGAAGGATAACCCTTCCCCCACTTTATTGTACGTGGTGACTAATTAGAGATAGCTTTTTCCTTTGCAGTCGGAGTGTTTTTGTCTGAAAGCAAGGAATAAATAGTCTTTGTACAAATAAGCCAATTCTGTAAAACAGATGTGCACGCGAAACTAAGTTCTTAAGGGGAAAAAAAGACTAGTCTCAGAAGTGGATGAACCAGAACTTTCTACTGGAGTCTACAGTCAGTGAATGCTCAGAAGAAGAAATAAACTGCATGGTAAGAATTACTGATGTCACAAAAATAATCAAAGATTTCATCTAAGACAAAAACTTAAAACGAAACACAAACTACCCTGTGCGATATTACACACACAAATGCATATACATAATACTTAACCCCTTAAGTAGTTATTTTGCATGTAGCTGACTGATTATGCAACTGGTACGGGGCAGGTTCCATATTACTGATAAAAGCAGCACATAAACCAAGGACTCAAACAGCTTATTTCCATCTAATGGTAACCACGTGGAGAAAATGCTAATAAATACAAAGTGCAAACAGCAAATGTGTATATTGTCATATGAACCAGATACTATATGTAAAAGTTTAGCACAGATATATCAGTCATTACCCACTGATAAGTCAATGTCCTTGATAATTTTACTTTTTTACAAAACTTGCATAAATATTAGTGCCTATATCACACAATACATTAAAAAAATGGAGGGGATGAGGGGAGAGAAAGAGAGCGACTGAATAAACAAAGATTAAAGCTATTTACTCACTCTGACTAGTGCTTGGATCAACACTCTGGTTGGGTGGCCCCATGGCCCCACCTGCCATCTGAGATCCAGAAAGGCTGGGGCTTGAACTGCCACCAGACATACCCTGAGTCATGCTCTGTCCAGGCCCTGGACCAACCATACCTGGACCAGACATCTGTCCAGGTCCCAAGGTGTGCTGCTGCTGCTGAGAATGATTTGGCACTGGCATGCCTCCGTTGGAGGGTGTCATGTTTGCCATTGAGTTGTCTGGGAGTCCCTGCATATTTGCCATGCCTCCCATCGATGTTGGTGGTATGCCTGAGGCAGAGGCATTCATAGACATACCTTGGGGTCCATGAGCCGGCATCCCACTCTGACTGTGACTAACCATGCTGCTCTGCATGTGTCCTCCCATATTCCCATGGTTACCTCCCATGCTGGAGTTTGCCCCACCTGGACCTCCTTGCATCATCTGATGGCTTGGTGACATGCCTGTCATTGAGGGTCCTTGAGGCATTCCTTGCTGGCCTGTGCTTCCCATTCCCGGGTGAATGTTTGACCCATGTGGTCCTTGCATTCCTTTCCCTAAACCCTCCATTGGTGGTATATGTTGCTGCGAGTAGCGTGGGTCATCACTCATGTCCTCCAGTTTCAATTATCAACTTGTCAACTGGTTTAGAGACCTGTAAAAAAAAGGAAAACACAATTATATTAGTTCTTATAATGAGAACATGTGACCTTTTCTTGCAGAAAAGTCTTGAAAACAAAAATGGCAGCATTTGCAAACAAGTACAAACCCATGGGAATTTCCCTCAATAATAATTTTTTTGGCTCTACTGGCAAATCCGGACGAAGAATAAACAGCCTTGGACGACTTAGTGAGAGTTCTCTCCCGTCGCCGCACTCCAAACAGTGATCGGAAAATCCACAACGAAACAAAGAAGACAGTCACGTCGACATCAGGGCTGCCAATGCTTGGTTGTTTCCCCAATATCTGGTTTTTTTTTCGACACTGCAGGACAATTCTGGGTTTTTTTTTTTTTGGGTGTGTTTTGTTTGTTGGTGTTTGCCGATTTGTATGCTTTAATGATCGATAAATTTGCGTGGTTAGGGGGGTAGGGGTTAGGGTTAGGGTTAGGATTAGGGTTAGCGGTAGGGTTAGGATTAGCGTTAGATTTGACAATTTTGACGCCGGAGTTCCCTATAATCGCGCACAGTCCCATACACACAAACAAACAATCGAGGGCCTCTGGATGCTGGTCACACGCACAATTCGCCAACGATTGGGGGCACCAGCCGCACGCTATTGGCGTCATATTTGGCAGAGTTTCAGTGGCGCCACTCCCGCAAACATCATATTGTCGGCCAGTATTTCGAAATCCTACGTCAAAATTTTCACATCTAACCCTAACCCTACCCCTAACCCTACCCCTAACTCTAATCCAACAACCGCATGATGATGACTACACAACCATTCACAATGCCTCACGCAACCGTACGCAACTGTGCACGCAACCATATGATGATGCCACGATGTCTCACGCAACCGTACGCAGCCCTACACGCAACCGCAGGATGATAGGTAAGTTTGTCGCTTGTTTCGTTTGTTTTCCGATTACTGTTCGGAGTGCGGCGACGGGAGATAACTCTGACTAAGTCGTCCAAGTCTGTTTATTCTTCGTCCGGATTTGCCAGTAGAGCCATTTTTTTAAATAAAAAGAACAAGGCACATATAAACTTCGCAAACATTTTTTTATCTATATGAAAATAATTTTAGGGAAATATATGAAGGGAGTGAAGAATTAAATAGAATACATGCCTGAGAGCCTTAAAAAATATCATTCTCTGACTCAGATGGATTTCTAACACTAAGGTTATGGGCTCATAATGACATCAACGTTTCTTGACAAAAGCCAGACTGCACCAATGTTATTTTTAGTAAATATATTCATATCTGGCCCTCGTAAACCCTGCAAAAGCACAAACAGAACCAGACATTGTTAAGTAGGCTTCTCAGGGAAGTCACTGCAGCTTTGCCAGTTAAGCAGCATTTACAGGAAACATACATTAAAATTGGTGAACACAAGAAGAATGACTTCTACAGGATTCCACAACCTTAAGGTTCATTGCCACAGAACTTAGACATTATCAAAGACTAACCTATGTAAAATTAACCTTTGTGAAAAGAGATGGCTGAGAGGGAGAGCCAACTTAATGATCCTATACAAATGGAGAAATAATACTATCAGACAGGCTATTGGAACAACACCATGCACTGAAAAACAGAAGATAAATAGTTTGACCATCTTATCAGAATACAGCCAAGACAACTACCAACATAGGCGCTACTCCTAAAATGATCTGATAATGCAAAGAAAATTATGGAATTATATGAATTATAGACAAACGAAACAGTCCGCCACAAGACAAAGGAAAGTCATAAACTGATTAGAAAAATGTGATGCTGACAGTCTTAAGTTGTTCTGACATTTTATGAAAAGGAATGAAAAAGAACTTGGTAAATACTGATGGAAAGAGAGCAAGGGAAAGGCAAAGAGATAAATATTTGTTTGGCCTGACCAAATAGATGGGGGCGATACAAGAACATTGACATGATCTAAGTTGAGTGTTAGTGTTGGATTGCAAAACATAACAGCCTATGCTTATCAGCATGGGACATATGATGATTATTACTTAACTATACACAATCAAACATTAACAAATTGGTGAAAATTTATTTTAAGAAAGTATAAAGCAAAAAGGACAAAGAAATGGCTGAGCTGATTTGCTGGCCTGATAATACAAGACTTGATATTGGCTGGCAGGTTCCTGTAGCAGCCGATTAGACTGCTTCTCATATTTTTTTGCATATACAAGTTGTTTAATGAAGGCTTTTGGGAAAGTCTGTTTTGTTCTGTAATCTAAAATCAATTTTGTTGTTGTGTTTTACCGTTGCCCAACAAGGTGAAAAATACTGTTCCATCATAGCAAACAAAACATAGACGTAGGCAAGAAAAGGAGTAGAACCATGCGTCAGAGATATCTGGAGAGCCTACATGGGCTTTGCTTCCCAAAACAAAAGTTATGACTTATTCAGTATTCAGGCTTTATTCATCAGAAAATTTAGCCAAATTGTTCAATTTAGTAAGTCGTCTGGTAATCCTAGTTTCAGCTTCATAGCAAACGGGTCACCCCATAGTTGCTCCACTCCTGTGCCAACGAAAAATACACGTAGCTCACAGTGTCACGCCATGCACTTAACTCAGAAGCTGGGCGACAAAACTATATCCTTCCAGTCTACAAATGGAGCAAAAATGCAACGGCCACCGTCTGGCAGGAAAAAAAAGGTGGCCGTACCTAGCATCTATTTTGACCTGAAGCATTATTTGAGGGTTTATAAACGGTCACCCCAGCAGTACCCTCATTATTAGCTGGGGAAGGGACTTAGGACATTACATCCACCAGCAGGCGTCGCCCCTACAACGACCTGCCTGCCTTTGTTACGACTGTTCACCCAACAGTCATGCAGTTCTTTGGCACGAAGGAAACACCTTGAACTTGGGTTTCGGACTGCAGACTCCCTACAAGATGCTATTTTATGTTTTGTTATCACACTTGATGTCACTGCACATTGGGCATACCCATGCGTGTTCAGTTCTCCGAAGCAGCAGCCAAAGTACTTCTACTAATTGTCCCCATGAGAAGCTGGTTATATCGTCTCCTTTCTCGGCCCCGAAGACGGCAAAGACGTGCATCACCATGCTTAACTCCCATGTCATGCAATCCTGCCAGTTTCATGAATTCCTGATTATCCACTAGCCCAGCCCGTACAGCGTTGACAATATCTGCTCTGTCCATGCTTTTTCCCACAATCATTAGTGCAGTGCTTGCCAGCTGGTCCGCTCGCTCATTTCCCTTTACGCCCGCATGACCCGGTGTGTAGATCCAGATTACGGAGGTTAAGTGTGATTTCTGAATGATTTCTATCCATTCAGAAGCATATTTATTGAGTCTGAGACAATTACTGCCTGTGTGGTGGTTTGCTCAGATACCCACGCTAAAGCTCTAGAAGCAGCGGCTATTTCTATTGTCATGCTTGACGTGGTTGTCTGGTAAGCGCCGCTGTCCTTATGTATTGTTTCCCCCCTTCTTTGCGTTGTAAATTTCCCTGCTGACCTTGATCCGCGCTTCACGGATCAATCTGTGTAGATGATATCTTCTGGGTCTGAATGCTGATCTATCAGTTCCCTTACTTCTGTGTCTACGGCCGCAGGAATTTGATCCCTGCAGTACCTTTTGAGTGTGATGTCAACCTTAGAGATGCCATGCATGTCTATTGGTGTATCTGTCCATTCTTTTCCGTGACTGATCACGTCTAGGTCACATACCTGCTGGATTAAATCCTCAGCCTCTGCCATCCAAGAGCGACCTCTTTTGAGATGCGTTCCTTTTGTGTCGTGTATAGCTTTGTGCAATGGGTGGTTAACGTCTGCCAATACCCTCATGTAAGCCTTGACCTGTGCCACTTTGTATCTGCTAGTCATCGTCGGCAAACCCAGGACATAACGCATGGCGTTGCAGGAGGTGTCTTTTGTGCAGCCGAGTATGGGTCTCATGGCCTCATTCTGTACTCGGTCCAGTCTTTCTAGCTGGATTTTGCTGACAGTGGGGAGGGCAAGACCATAGTCAATGATGCTAAGCATAAGCCCTTGATAGAGAAGGAAAAGTAGGTGTTGCTCAATATCAGCTGCTGCTAGCACCATGAGTGCTGTCAAACCTTTCCTAGCTCTAAGTATGACGTTGTCTGCGTGGAATTTGTATGACAAGCATTTGTCAAATGTCATGCCCAGGTATTTCATGGTATCCGTTCTCTCGATGTCCACACCACAGATGCTTACGACTGGCGTTGGTGTACTAACGATGTGGGTATTCAGAGAGAACCATGTTAAGGAGGCTTTGGACGGGTTCACCTGAGCTCTTGATTCCTGGCACCACTCAATAAGTCTCTAGTTCGTGTTGTAGTGTGGTTGTAATTTTCTGCCTGTTTTTACCTCGACGGTAAACAAGGATATCATGTAAGTCATGTCTGTCCTAAGTAATAACTATTTTTTTTTTAATGCATGCATAAAATCCAAGTTCGATAGCTTATCTAAATAATGTTGAGATTTCAGTGTGATTGTGTTAGTTCATTAGAATTTCTACAAGAAAATGGTTTTGTATATGTTCATTCCATTAAACACTTTTTTTTTTTTACAAATTTGGAAACTCTTCCGAATACCGGTCCTAAATTATTCAGTGTAAAAAAAAAATTCCATTCAGGGCCTCAAGATGTCATATAGTTAAAAATATGGAATAGGAACACTACAACTATGCTTCGGGTTATTATATAATTTCATTGGAACCAAACTCTCGAGTCTTCTGTAGTGCAGTTGCAAGTCTTCCACCTGCCACGTAGGTGACTGGTGTTTGAATCTCCACCGCGTGCTGATTTTTTGTTTTGCTCATAAAGGGGCATCTGACACGTTGTGTTGTGATTTAAAGCTAGCCAGCGATATCTGCACTTCGCTTGGTCTTATGGTTTATAGTTAGACTGTGATAGCGGTGGCGAGATGCTCAAATCAATCAATGTCATGTCATGGG